AACTAAAAATTATATACGGAGTGCCTTACAAGAGGAGCTTGTCAGTTTTTAAATATTATGTAACTTTTATAAAACAAGATTTTCTTATTTATCTTTCTCTGTAAAGATAGTCTTTACATTACATTGTTATGACATTTAAAATTGTCGTTTTTATTGAAAAAAGTATATTTTTATTTTTTATATAATAATTAGATTGATAAAAAATAGTGTACCTACCTCGGCTAGCTATTTAATTTTTATTTTAATACATTTTTTATGTAGTGTGTCTGTGTAAGTTGGCTACATATGGACAACTTTTTTTTTATTAGTTTTTTCAAAAAAAATTATTCAGCATAAAAAGTTGTGCATGGTCTAAAACCTAAAATACATCACATTTTTTAGCCGTATACTAGGACAGTTGGCGGTATATGGAAATCTTTTTTATTAATAATTTTATAAAAAAAAATGTCATAAAAAATTGTGCGTGATCTCAAACCTTAAATACAACCATCACATATCAAATTGTATAAGTCGTATACAAGGTTTGTCAAAAATAAATGTACTTTACTCTTGGCCAAAAATAAATTTTTTGACAAATATCGTATACGACTCATAAAAATTGATATCTGATGGGTGTATTTTAGGTTTTACACCATGCATAATTTTTTGATAAAACTAATAATAAAAAAGTTTTCCTTATGTAGCCAACTTAGGTAATCTGTAATGTTATATTTTCATTTTTATATATAATTTTATTTTAATTACATAATTTAAACTGTAATTCATTTAAATTGATGTTCTCTTTTTTCTTTTTTTTTCCTTTTTTATTTATTCCAAAGCATTTAATAAAATAAACTTGAGCTTAACAGCCTTTGTTTTATTAGGCATAAATAAAACTTCAAATGAATTAAATTTAGTTATTAAAATTTTATTTATTTGCATAAAGTCACATCAAAAATTAATCTAACCTTACAACATGTCTTAATATTTCGAGTGTACTTCGCAAGTCAGTTTTTCAGTTTGTTAAGTCTTCCACGATGGCATTTATTTGTCGGTCGAGATTACTGTATTTTGTGGTTCTTTTGGGTGTGGTAATATGTAGACTTTCTTTTTTTTTTCAGCTACACTATAACACCTTATTTCCTCTTCAATGACTTTCAATAACTCGTAAATATTCGGATTGGCTTTACCAATTCGTCTATTAAGTCTGTTGTGCCAGCCCTCTACAGTGTTGGTGGTCCTATGTCTCTCCTTGTACACTACCCATAACAAATCATTGTTCAACCACTGGTCAACAAAGTAGTCATTGAATTTGGCCAAGAGTGGTTCATTTGTCGCAGTCTCCATTATAATCATCCATGTGTCTGGTAAAGTTGCTTCTGGCAAGTAAGCAAGGGATGCACACATTCAGATGTTCAGATTATCTCTGTAAATGAAAGCTAGTCCACATTCTTGAACCTTTCGCCACAGAGCCTGGTTGAAGTAGAAGTTGCAACCTTTGATTACAGTTGCTGGAAAAACTTCCTTAATGGCGTTAATCGCTGCCTTCTCATAGTCAATATGGATATTAATTGGTACTTACAAAAAAATTGGAGTGATAATTATTTCAATTAAAATCCGTTTTAGGATAAAGTGGTTCAATTAGGGTATTTATCCCTTTTTAGTTTTCGTATGTATTCAGATAAGGAAAGTATGGGAATCATGATTTTTTTTTGGCCTCGAGTTTTCGACTGATTTTTACGTTTTGGTGGACCCCTGAACCCAATTAAACTATTTTCGTGATGATGTCTGTGTGTCTGTATTCATGATAACTTTAAAACAGATAAAAAGAAAAACACTATATTTTAAACTAAATATATACGTTACTTGAATATTAATTATTTAACTATATTTTAATAATATATTTAAACGTTGTTATGTAACTAAATGTTAATCATTTTGTTAAATATATATAATATGTAAAATATTATTGTATTCCAACCTTTTAACCGAAAGTTGGATATTAAGATACATACACGTTTAATATTAACGTTTCTTTAAATTACATAAAACTCGTAATAAAAACGTTATTGTATCGAAACACTTTGACGTTTTGTTTATATTTTAACTAAAAATATTAATTATTCTACTTTATTGTAATCATATCTTTAAACGTTTTAAATATTTTAATTGATTATACGTAGAATATTAAGTTGGTTATGTTGTAAATGGCCAAGACTTGAATAATTTCAAGTTTGTAAAAAGAGAAAGAAGATCGGTTATGTTGTAGTCATTTTATTTTAAGTAATATAATTTTATTTCAGCCTATATCCAGAGACAACCATATATTCTAAATAATTGAAAGTTTGCATCTGTTGTTGGATACATTTCTGAAATATCAGTATGTTATATGTCTGATAGGTTTCAAATTATTTTATATATTTACAGGATATTTTTACATTTTAGGAACGTTTCAGAAATGTTTCTGGAGAGTTTCGTAATATTTATATATTACAAATATTTCATTGTTACATTCTTGAAATATTTACTGTGGTTTTGTACTGTGTGAGTTTATAGAGGGTTGTTTTTCTATTTAAAAAAAATGTATCTGTAATTTACGCTTGGAAAATAAGATTGTTTAAATAAAAGTTGCTTGTAATATTATTCTCTATAAATTTTATCATATTTATAATTTCCTTAAAATGGTATGTATTGAGGTAAAGTGCAAAATTCGAATTTTTCTCATTATTTTAACTTATAATACCACTAGTGACCAAATTATTTCCGAAAATATTTTAGAAATCGCAAATATTTTGAAAATGATCCCGATATCATGCTCTATAATTTTTATTCTACACATGATTTCTCTAAAATAAACCGTAATGGAAAAATCTTAATTTTTTTCACATCAACTAACTTTTCAATGCACGCTATCTGTTAAAAAAAAAGCTTGTTCTGCGATGTTATTCACTTCTCTTAAATTTTCGATAATTCATTACTACCTGAATCAGATTGTAATCAGAATCAGGGTACATAAACTATGGTCAAATTTCATATCCCGTCGACGCCCGAGTTGCGAACTCACAGGTACACAATTTTGGAGGACGCCCGAGTTGCGACGAATTCAGGTAGTTTTATATTACGCCCGAGTTGCTAACGCACGAGTTGAGAAAGTACCCTCGGTGGGGTACCTGGCTTAAAGCTGCCTTTTTATACGCAGATAATTATGAAAAAATTAAATAAATCATATTTGATTTTGATGATTCATCTAAGGGAATATCTAATACAAAGAAGTTGTTTCAAAATCACATATTACAAAAGCAATTAGTGTTTTTAAAAAATTATGCATTTGTACCCAAAATTATATTAGATTTAGAACAAAAAAATTTACCTTTGATGACTTCCGTAAATTTAAATAGAGTGTAAAAATGTACAGGGCGATATTGGAAAGACGATTTTTCATAAATTTTCAAATGTAATTTTAAAAAATGAAGGATTTATTGTTTTAGGAAACCTTGCTAATATTTATTCTGGTAACTTTGAAGATATTAATACTATTCATCCAGATATTTCAGGAAAATTTAAGTTTGCACCTATTACTTCTGTAGATGTCGAAAGGAGTTTTTCTTTGTACAAGTACATACTTACTGATAGGAGACAATCATTTAATACAGATAATTTAGAAAAACATCTAATTGTTCATTCGTTTTATAATAATGTTGATTTGTAAATAAAATTAGTTAATAATTAAATAATTATTAAGTATTATATTAGGTATTGTAAAATAAAACAAATAATAAATATTAATAAACTATTTCGATCAAATAACAAATTACTCTTATTGCATATGCTCTGCATATTTTTCAATTTTTTACGCATATATTGAAGTATTTTGCGGCATATATATGCGCATATTTAACTACTTTTTGGGTGCATATATTCCTAGGTCTAGTTATCATTATTAATATCACAATGATTACATAATTTGTTATACATTGTGCACACATAAACTACTGGAGATTTAACTAATATATTGGTTCGGCAAGATGGATTATAAGAAAAAGATTCATTGCGGGACTCAATTCTGGGTAACGAAAAGTTAATTTTACTCAATATATATAAAAAGTCAATTTGATTATTTAAAAGTTTATGTAAAAAGGAGATTGATTCGTGGTTACGCCTATCCATCAGTGGTTCAATCTCAAACATTGGAAGCAGGCGCGGATACAAGGGAGGGGTGATAGGGTAATTACCCCCCCCCAAGCTGCTCGAAGAGATCCAGGAATGTATTAAATTATAATCTAAAAATATCGTATTGGTATCAGAACTGACGGTTGTAGTGTTATGGTGTTATGCAGTAGATTCGAAGACGCTATAAGTATACTGTGTCTGTGGCGCATTATGATGAGTGAGCCTAACACGAGTGAGACAATATGCCGAATGCATATAGCTAAAAAGAGAAGACAACACGCCAACAGATCCTTCAAACTGTTAAAGAACACATTAATTGACGCGCCGCTCACAAACAAGGTTGCCAAACCAGTGTTGCCAGTCTAGTACAATTCACAATTGTACTAGATGTAGTACTTTCTGTGTGCATCAATGTTCACGTGTAAAATATATATATATTGTGTCCCTTGTTTGGGTTCGTTATCAATAAAGACAATTCTTTCCCTTTCAATGAATTAGATGTCACTGTAAATAGAATTCAAAAAAATCTGGTACATAACAAAAACATATTCTGGCAACACTGTACCAAACCAAACAAACTGTCACTGTCATTAGTGTCATTCCTCTGCTATTAAATACTTTAAATAAAAACATAAGATTATTTTAATTGTGCTTATTTAAAAAAATGTGCTTTATTAAAAACTGTGTCTTCTATAAATTGAAAATATGTATGTCAATTCAACGATTGTTCCCGAAAAACTTCTTTAAGGCAAGGTAAATTAAAATTGTTAAGGTTATGTTGATTTATTTACCTATAATAAAGTTTTAAGACTGTAATTTGTTGTATATTTTGTTTCAGTGTCTAAGACCATCCAAAGACTACTTTAAAATGGTTTATTCTGTACTCAATTGTAAATACTATGAAGTAAGAAGTAAGCAAAAAAATTTGTATTTTTTTCCCCACTAAACCAGCTAAAAGGAAAAATTTAATTAATCTGATGAGATACTAGACATCATTATAAAAATTTGATAGAGATAAAGAGACAAATGGTTTTTCACTTTAAAAGTCTGAATCAGAAAAAAGGATCAACCAGTTAATTTAATATACTCTATGAGAAATTTTATCTAAGAAATGGTATATACATTTAAATAATTTAGCTATATAAAGTTTCGTTTGCCTGTAATTATCAATAGTATTACTCTAAGGGCTTAAAATTGTCGCGGGGCCCGATCTGGCTCTCGGCGGCCCTGATGGCGCGGTAAATGGCGCAAAAATAGAGTGTTTTAAATAATTGATTTAAAAGTGAACTTTTTAAAGTAAAGAACTATAATTTATTTATTATCTATTTAAAGTATTTATTGAATGAAAAAAAAAAGTTTTTCATGCTTAAACAGTTAATAGCATTAGCGTCGTTAAATTCGTTTACACTAAACACGCCGATTTACTGTAATTTATAGTAATTTACTGTAATTTACTGTAATTTATAGTAATTTACTGTAATTTACTGTAATTTACTGTAATTTACTGTAATTTACTGTAATTTACTGTAATTTACTGTAATTTACTGTAATTTACTGACATTTACTGGAATTTACTGAAAAAACGTTCCTGGTATATTTAGACGATATCATAATCTTGGGGAAAACATTTGATACCCATCTAAAGAACTTCTCGATCATACTAGGCATACTAAGCATTAAAAATCATTTTTACTGCCTAGGCATTAAAAATTTACATTTTCTTCTTTTCACTTTTAGTCTTGCTTTGCATGAGTGTTCGGCCAAAAAAGCTACTCTAATAATGTAACTACAAAGTCACTATAAGTATATTTGTATAAGAATTGAAGGTATATATTAAAAATGTTTTTATTTTAGTTCCATTTTTTTAAAACACACTGTATAAAGAATCGGAGAAAAATTGTATGTTTCACACAGCAGATAAACATAGGCAGTAAATCTGTTACTTTTCTGCCTAGTTGAGAATAACTTTTTTAAACTCTAATTTGTTTTAATGCCTTTGATGAGCTGAATACAACCAACTATCACATTTGGGGACTAAAGTGAATAATTACAAAATTAATTCAAAAAATGTTTTTGCTTCTCCATATAAGTATGAGTCACCCTGTATGTAAACATATTTTTAAAGTAAAGAATCTGTTTATCATGCATATTGCTAATAATATTTGCCAGCGCATTAACCAAGAAGAGGAGCCTTAAGACTAATTAGTCTTAAACTGTATTATAAATATAAAAACATAATTATAACATTTTGCTTAATAATTTGTAAAACCAGTTGATAATAAAAATAATCTGTATTAATAACATTAATTTCAATGTTATTAAAATGCCACGTTTTGTTTAGGTACTACAATACAAATGGGTACCTATTCAAGTCTGGCCCAGAACATTCCTTCCACCGAGTTGTTGGGTTTTGGCAAAATTCGCGCAGCTGCAAATGCTTTCTGGGCTACCTAATTGCAATGAAAAATAAAAAAACCTTCTATAAAACAACGCAACATTTAAAAAATATAAACATCCTTGAAAAAGAACAGTAAAAAAAATATACGTGTTAAATCAGTACAAAACCACTACACCTATAATTAAATAACAAAACTATACATAACAATAATTCAAGGAAATGCGTCCACCGGCGCCTCATTGATTGGCAGGAAGAACTGCGCCGTGCCAAACTAGGCGCCTTCACATTACCTGCAAGGCAAAAGATCTACATTGGCTAGCCACTCCCTCCCACAACGATCCGCCCGTCCTATTGGCCCGTCGCTCCCCACCGCAGTTATAAAACCCGAGCGTAAACGTCAAAATTCCTCAAACGACGTCCAGACATCGAGAGTGTTCGTAGCTCCGTTCACTTCAGTGTAGTTCCGAGTTCAGTTTCAGTGCAAAACATCAAACCAAAATGAAGTCGATCGTTAGTGCAGTGTGCGCAGACAACGCTATGTCGATGTCCTCCAAAGTGGCCAAACGGAAGGATATCGAAAACGAGGAGATCCAAATGTATCTCTCCAAGTTGAAGGATTTGGTGCCGTTCATGCCCAAAAACAAGAAACTTTCTAAATTGGAGGTTATACAATACGTTATTGACTATATTTGTGATTTGCAAAACGCGTTGGAAACGCATCCGGCCGTTAACGCGTTCGACGCAGCGACTGCGTTGAGTCAGAAGAAATCGCAGAATGCTGTTAGTCCTAGACAACCTTTGGGAGTGAGGCCGAGTCCTAATACCATTTTGACACCTTGCGAGGCGACCGTTTTGCAAAATATTACGGTAAGAATCTTTTTTATTTAGTAAAATTCATTCAATAAAAAAAAGAATCAACGATAGTAGTGGCGGTTCTTCAATAAAATATTGGGGTTCACAATAACAGAATATAGATCTCAATACAGATTTACATAAAAAAATCTTTCAGCGTTTAACCTATTATTTTATCATGAACCCTCAATATTTTGGTCAAAAACGGCTACTAAATGATCGATATATGATTACACACAGAGAGCCTATTTTAAATTCCATCACATCAACAATACTCTTTAGAGAAGGATCGTCTAGAAATTAACAAATATATATGAAACATTTTATAAAAAATTCAACCATTCTGAAAATTATTCGATACAATCTCACTACCAAAACTTTAGCATAAATCAACCACAAAAGGTGACATGTGGAGTACCGCAGGGAACAGTATTGGGTCCCTCACTATTTATATTGTATATTTCAAATTAATACTGCAACGGAAATCATTAGTTTTCCAGATGGTACTGTCCTTTTTTATGCAAAACCTCGAATAAAAATTCAAACTGATTTTCCAGAAATAGTATTTTGAAATTTTTTGACACTGAATTGTATTCCGTATAATTATTTTACCGATATTGACAAAATTTGTCATTTTTTTTTTAAATCTTCATCATTTTTAATTAAAAAATATATATATTAGACTATTTTGATTAGTTGGTTTTATTTTATTAGTTGTCCATTATTTATAATAATTGTTCCTCCTTTTATGACATTTCCATCGTCTATATCAATAAAAGTAGCATGACAATTTTTATTCATATAAGACAACTTGACAACACTGCTTCTATATCATTTTTTTAATTTCGACCCCCCAAATTTAAATATGTTTTTCTGGATAGGTAAAGCACTCTCAATAGTTATTATAATATATTGTTATGGCAAAAACAATTATTAGTAATGAATTGCTGTATTTTTAATCACAATAAATGGATAGTAAACTTTTTGTGCGACTTGGCAAAGGTGTAAGACGTAAAAGTAGCATTTCTGAGCTTTAGATTTCAGACAATTTGTGAAAAAAAAATAACTGTCACTAAATAGGTGTAAAATAATAAAAATTTATTTTAAGACGAAAAAGAAAAAAAAACAAATAGTGCAAAAATCTTTTTCATTTCAAAATAACTCGAAAACTGGTTAAATTACGAAAAATAATCGTATTGAATTAGACGTTTCAAGTAGTAAGACGCTAAGTTGGTGTAAAATAATAGAAATTCATTATAAAATAGATGAAAAAAGAAGATAAACAACAAAAAATTTTGTTTACGATAGTGATACCTACGTATGCTTAGTTTTTTCATAAGCGAAAAGAGCAATAAGTACATAATTATCCTAAAAAATATCGAATGGAGTTCCACAGGATCCAGTGCTGAGTCCTATATTATTTACATTGTATGCTAATGGTTATTTAATATTATTTTTATCGGTTTCAAATAATACAAATGATTATTTATTTGATATTAGCTACAAATTATATTTTATTTGTTTAAATTTAAAACCAAAATGTCAATCTAGGCAAATAATTTAATAACGATAACCATCAAATTAAAATAATTAGTATACTATAAAGATATAATTGCCTACCCATAAATTAATACATCTCAATTAGCTATTAAGAGATGTCTTATTTTGTTCAAGAGGATTCTTATCAAAACATCTATCATTTTGTTTGTATATTTGAAACCAAATTATTTAATAATTGGAAAAACACCATAACTCAATTTGTTGAAGTCAGGTACAAAGGGCTTGAGTCACAATTTTCCAAAATTTAGATAAGTCAGAATGTGGTCAAAGTGAAGTAAGGCGGTAAGCCAGAATTTAAGTCCTTATTACCTGTATCTTCTTCCTCTTCAATGTCATAAATTAAACCAATATAAGGGATTCATAGTTGCTCTGTGTCCCATTATTAAAGGTTCACCCTGTATATATAGCCAAATTATTGGTTGTTTATATAAATTTACTTACATTGAAAGCAGTTCTTACGTTTAACAATGAATAATATCATAGTAGGTATTATTTATGTCGTATATAAGTATTTTTTACTTATGACAAGGCCCAAGGGTCTATGTGCTACCCTTGTGGAACTCCTGCACGTGTAAGGCTCGAATATAAAGAATTAATCGACTTTAATTGGTACAAGTTTTTCTTCAAAAAAAGCGTCTGGCCTTAAATTCAGCATCGAAGCGACCTTTGAGCTTAAAACATGAAGTAAAACAGTTTAGTGTCTGTCGTTTTACACAAACAAGGTTACAAAATATAGAAATACGTCCACTCGGCGTCCGGTTGTAATATATATTGAACACCTTGAATTTTGCCCTGACAAAACAAATTTCAACTTCAACGACTTGGTAAAACGGGGTCACAAACGATGACTACGTTGTTTAAACTGTTTCACATTCATTGTTTTGAAATATGATGGGCCAATCGTGATAGGATTGTTTCTTGCAGAACGACAGTGGTGGATAGCATTGTTTTAAAGTAGGTCTCGGTTTTTTCTTTTCGAAAAAATGTGATTATTATCTATTGCTCTATTATTTTTTTCGAATACCGCTTATCCTGGCTGAAAGTAGCGTGTAAAGCCAAGCAGTTAAATCAAGAGAGTATGATGGATACAAATTTATATACTGGCATTGTTTTGATAAAACAAAAACGTCAGTTTCTAAAAGTTTTTGTTGTAGCTTCATTTTCATCCTCTTTTGGCGAACATCCATCAAAGACATCAAATAATAACTGATAATGAAACAATCCTGAGTTCTCTCACACAAAAAACTTATCCATTATCTTTAAACCTCGGTTCGGTGAAATAAAAGAAGAAGAAGAAGAAATAAAATAACCAAATCTATGATGAAATGATACTGTTGGATGATAATCAGTGGTAGAAAAATGTTTACCACCAACTCTAAAACAAGCACCAACCCTTCTTGACTATGTATAGAGTGTTCTCGAGTGTGGAAGAGGTTTATGTGAAACTCTCAGGTCGTAGAGCCTTGAGAGATACCAGAAGACCCGTTTAAGTACTAATAATAACTATTAATGAAATTTAACAAGCCAAAAATAAATTCGTGGTCCATTTGAGTCAATGAAATTGACAGAAGCCCTCCAAATGTATATACAATAAAAGACCCCGTATCCTGGTAGATCATTAATTAATTATAACCCTCCCGAACATGTGTGATATTCAGCGACAGCTGACCGATTTAATTTAACACAGCGAGTGCTTGTCTGGGACAAATATACATACACACATACGAGGCGATGATAAGAAAGTCCTGTGTTTAGGGAGAAATTTCACATCAATAACGTCCATTCTTTCTCAAATCAATGAGCCGAGTGTTTGAAGAAAAATTCACACGTGTTCATTACGTACATCTGCATGAACATAAAACGGTCGTCGTTCCCTCTATATATAAGTAGGCAGCGTCGTACCCAGCCGTGGGGGGAAGGGGGTTAGGGTTCTTTTTGTGAGGTAGGTAAAGGTGCACGTTTCCTATAAAGATGCTTTTATTAATCGTATAGTAGGTAGTATTGAATAAGAGGTTTTGTTTAACGGATTATCCTTCTATATAAAGCTTTTAAAGTTTTTGTAATTTTAGATCTCTTTTCTACAAACGGACATTTTTAAATGTATTATTTTTAGCATAACTTTTTTCTCTGAATTTGACAGTATGAGCAGAAATGCTTGTTACGTGCTTCCGCGGCTTCTTCAGACAGCTGCCCAATAGGCAAAAATGCAGTTTTTATTATAACTGCACCATGAATAAGTAAGGGTACGTAACTGCGTTTCAAACACTCAATTTGGTCTTCGGTGTATCCTTCGCACGACAAAAGTTGTTCTTTTAAGAAATCTAGTTTTTCTTCCAAACTAGACAAATCTAGATTCTTCATGCGACAGAACAAATATTTACGGGTCACAATTCGTCGCCGTCTAACGGGATATCTCTTTTTGTGTAGTTTTTTGTTTGATTTCTTCCATTTTGATGTACCTTACAATGTACTCTCTTTGTAACTGCAAGGATCCCATTGAATAAAAATTTGGCATAGTCTCTTGTCTTTTACCACCACTGAAGCGACTACATTTCTTATTACGTTTTGAACATGATTCCCATTGCATCGAGTTCCCAATTGTTTTGGTGGCATGAGGTTCATTGTTTTCGGTCTTACATAACATTGTTCTTTAGTTCTTTGGCTTATATGAATTTATTTTCCTGACTTTTTTAAATGAAACTTTTCTTGGGGATCCCTCGACTGGAAACAAGCTCTCCGGATTGTAGTCTTGGTGTGAGCGGCAGTTATTATCTGCTTCAAAGTGTTCAAAACAGAGAAGACTTTTAAATGAACAATTTGGGTGTTCACAGAGCTTTTCGTTGCTGTCTTCATTACCTAAGTTAGCTGCTTCATTTGCTTTCGGGCTTCTTTTATTTATCTTTTTAAATTTTTCTCTAATTCTTTATTTGTCCAACTTTCTAGACTAAATAAGTGACGCCGACATAGATCATGATTATTACAAACAACTTCTTTGCAAAGTAATGCACTACACTTGTTAATGCCTCTGTTTTTACATTTTCTCGCGGTACATTCATAAATAACAAAATCAGGGTGTTCATCACTGTAATCTCCAAGTAGTGAGTCCTCACTTTCACTATTGGATTGAGTATACTTTCGTTTTATAGCTTCTCTTGTTATCGGCCGTCTCAAAAGTGTGTTTGGTACATCAACAAAAAATGAGTTATGTCCTTTTGTAAAAACAGTGGCGATATGTATATATTTTACTAATTTAATAGAAAAATTCCCCATTATAATTATTTTATCAATGTTAAAAAATTGTATACAATGTCGTCTTACCACCCTGTACATAACTGCCCCTATGCGACGCGTCAGATCTCGCAGCTGTACCTCAAATTCTATGTATACAAATAAGTACGGCCATATATACCTCTATATTTTTAATCGCGTTACACAGTGGGTTTAAATGTATATTTAAGAAAAGCGAAGACGTTTTGTGAGGGGGCGAACGGAACACGTGCAATGATTTCCAATGAATACCGTTATTATAGCTCCAGCTATCCGGCTGGGCTTCGCTGAAAGAAATATCTATTCAATTAAGGCCAACAGATGTTCATGTGCAGGATATTTTTTTACTTCGTGTACACTTATTTATGTATAAGGCAACATAGTATCATCGAGGAGAGATTTGCTCGTCTTGGTTTGTTTGTTTTTTTTTCTCTCTCTCTTTCTCTCGATAATATTAACCTTTTCACCAATTTTGAGGTTATGTAATTTAATGTTTTTTCTCTTTGTTACAGACAACGGAAGCGCTCACGCCATCAGATAGGCAGATATCCTGCTAATACCTTGGAGGATCTTCATCATCCACGTGATCATCGTCATCTCATTCCATTTTCCCTAAAAGAAAAGAAAAAAAACCAGAGAAAAAAATCGTCTTGATATTATTTGTATAAAAGAAAAAATCCACTTAGGGACCGACTGATATATCATCTATTAATTAGTGATAAGAATGGAGAGCAGAGTGTTTGTGGTAAATGCGTTCTGACAGAAGAAGAAAGGAAAAGAATGCATGGAGCAGCACATAGTGATGTACCTGTTATGTTGCAATTTTGTTAATTAGATTTTATTTTATTGTTTATGTATATATAGATCATGAATTAGGCGGGTTAAAAACAATTTATAATATACCGACGTACCTTCATACGCGCGGAAACGCGCGTTTGAAGATGTATTTCATAGCGCAGCTTCTTCGTATTTGTGGAAAACCTCAAGAAAATTCAGTGAAATCTATTAAATGTTATCAGCAAACTTTTAAATAACGACAGCCTTTACAAAATTTAAATTTTTGTGATAAAAAGTCACGTTGACTCGTATCTGGGCAGTATGGTGGCTGCAATGGATCAATGAGGAAATAGGTGTTTCTTTCTGAATCAATTTCTAAAACGTTTTGAATTTATTTACAACTTTAGTATATTTAACTTGGATCATTTAGAATTTTACTTGGCTTATTTAAAAATACAGCATTTCTTTATTTTTACTAAAAAAGTTTATCGAATTTTTAATTTTTAATGAATGTTTTCGTCGTTTGCTTGAAATTTTTAAAAATCTATTTAATTAAAAGCCGTTCTTGGATTAATTTTTGTAATTAAATAACTTAAGTTTTTCTTTAAACTTGTCCAAATTCAATAATGACTTATTTATAAAATTTTACTTGAAATATTTAAAAATACCTCATTCGCTACTTTTTCTAAAGAAATTTATCGATTTTTTAAAAATTTAATTAAGACTTTGGTTCTTGAAATCTTTAAAAAAAAATTTTTTTTTAATACTTGGAAGAAATTCTTGAATTTACTTGTAAAGTAAAGAATGTCCAAACTCGTCTAACTTTCATCGAAACTTGTTTATAAAGAAATACAGTTTAAAATTTTACTTGGTTTATTTAAATACGGCATTTCTTAAAGAAATTTATCGAATTTTCACTTAAATCTTTAAAATTCAATTAATTTTTGGTTTTTTACTTGAAATCTTTAGAAATTTACTTAAAATTAAAAAAAATCATCGGTTTTTTTTTTTACTTCTTTGAAGACATTCTTAGATTTACTTGTGAAGTAAAGAATGTCCAACTTTTTTAGAAAAACTTGTCCAAATTCCATAATGACTTGTTTATAAAGAATTGAGTTTAGATTTTTACTTGGTTTATTTAAAAATCAACATTTTTTTAAAGAAATCTATCGAATTTTTACTTAAATCTTTAAAATTCCATGAATTTTTCGTCATTTGCTTGAAATCTTTAGAAATTTACTTAAAAATAAAAAATATATCGGTTTTTTTTTAGTTTGAAGACCTTTTTGGATTTATTTGAACTCTTTGTAAAGTTAAAATGTCCAAGTTTTTCTAAAAAACTTGCCCACACTCCATAGTAATTTGTTTATAATGAAATACATTTTAGATTTTTACTTAATTTATTTAAAAACAATCAATTTTTTATTTTTTTTAAACTTCAATGAATTTTTCGTCCTTTGCTTGAAATCTTTAGAAATTTACTTAAATATCAAACTTTTGAATCCTTGACGACATTTTAGAATTTATTTGTGAAGTAAAGAATGTCCCATTTTTTTTCTAAAAACTTGTTTAAATTCCATAGTGACTTGTTTATAATGAAATACATTTTAGAATTTTACTTAGTTTATTCAAAAATAACCAATTCTTTATTTTTTCTAAATAATCATCTTTAAAATTCAAGGATTATTCGTCGTTTGCTTGAAATCTTTAGAAATTTACTTAAAAATCAAAAATTCATCGGTTTTTTAAATTCCTTTGAAGAAATTCTTAGATTTACTTGTGAAGTAAAGAGTGTCCAACTTTTTTAGTAAAACTAGTCCAAATTTCGTACTGACTTGTTTATAAAGAAATGAGTTTAGAATTTTACTTGGTTTATTTAACAATACTGCATTTCTTATATTTTCTAAGAAAATTTATTGAATTTTCAATTTTATCTTTAAAATTCAAATAGATTTTTGGGCCTTTTACTTGAATTCTTTAAAATTCAAAAATTCATGGTTCTTTAAAATTCATTGTAAGACATTCTTGGTTACTTGAATTTTTTGCAAACTAAAAAACTTATCCAAATTCCATAGTGAATATTTACATTAATTTTTTAACCTTTACTTTAATTTTTTAGAAATTTACTTAGAATTAAAAAGTGCATTGTTGTTTTTATAATTGTTTGTAAGACATTCTTGGATTTACTTGAATTCCTTGTCAAATAACGAACGACCAAGTTTTTTCTAAAAAGTTACTTGTTTATAAAAAAATACAGGAGGCCTTCAGATTAACTATTTTTTAAAATAAAACTACAAGAATAAAAAGAACACAAGTTAATTTCAAATACTTACCAGTGACGTGGTAATAGAAAGGCTTCAAGTTACTAACTTCTCCACTAGATGGTGTAAGGCTTATAACCAATAATAAAAAGATAAATGAATTACGATTTTCGTATTTTCGACATAACCTAATTTGTCATTTTTGAGAGAAATGAGTTTTAATCACTGAACTCATATTTATTTAAAAATGTCTTATTTGGACACCCGACACAACATTTATTGGATTAAAATAAGTTGATTTGCTGTAAACATGGTGTTTCACTGAATTTTCAATTTAATGTTCCGACAGGTCATCAAAATAAATATGTAATTAAGATTGTGTGGTTTTTTATGATCATGTCGGAACATTTATCATATAAAATTTATTAAATTATCTGCTTAGATCACAGATTTATATCCTTTTGATTAATAATTTAATTATTCGTGAGTTTTCATTCTGTGATTTTTTTAGTATATAATTTTTTTTTGTACAAAACGGATCTCTCCGTACGTGGGGAGGTTTCTTTAGAAAGTTGACGCGCGACAGCTGTCAAAATTGTCATTTGATGGCATTTTGATCGGTGTAGGAGTCGACTGTATCGATGTACATTTTTGTTCTAGAAAAACTTTTGTAAATAGTTACCTATATAGCAACTTAATGTTGTTAAAAATTTTATTATTATATAAAAAAATTTTGAATTAAATAATTATGATTTTACATGTATGTTGTGTTTTATTTGTTTGGGGAATATTTTTCGATTTTTTAAAAATATAAGAAGCATTTTAAATGTTAATAATAATAATAATAATAAAAAAATGGCAATACTGTTATTTAAAAAAAGAAGTATGGGAATTTGCTGTAATCATGTATATTCGTTTATATGGAATGCAGTTTGATTTCATGAGGTTTCTAAAAATTCGTTTCGAATGGAGGTAGGTATTGCTGTAGTTTTCTATAGTACATACAGTGTAAGTCAAAAATATATTTATAAAAAAAAAAAATTGAGGTATTGTGATAAGTTAATATGCTGAAAAATTCGGAAGACATTAAAAGTTGTGTCCACAAGACGGATTTAACCAATTTCAGATAAATAATTTGCAACTTTGGTGTAGTATATGTCAATCAAATCAGATCCTGTTTGAGGTAGGAAAAATGTCTCAATTAAAAGTTGTAGAGAGCATTGAGATAGAAACTTCAAATTTAGTGTCTCTCGAATTAGATTGGGCGATTCTCATTTTTTATTTAATTTAATTTTATCTTCTCCTTTACAATGATTTATTTTTTATTGTAATTGGAAACTGAAATATTGCAATTTAAAATAACAGACAATAAATTAGAAAATATGTTTCTATTTTATTGAAAAGAAGAAGAGAACTTACCAAATTTCTTTAAAATCTCAAATACATACCATAAGAAAAAGTGACAAGTGATATTTTTTGTTTTGTTGGTTATGTTATGACTTATGACAAACGAATGGCTACGTTCGAAACAATATGATGTTCACAGTACTTCTCGTGGATCCTTTTTTTTATCAAATTTCTTTATTACGTTGTGTTATCATAACAGGTAGGTTAAATACGTAAGTAACAAATATAAGTTTTGCGAGGTTTTGATTTTTCTCAACAACGTCTCATGAACGTTGCATTTACATTGTATAGTAATGTTATTACGTTCCCTTAAAACAACATCGCCGAAAGCCTTGACAACGTTATGTGCTAGCTGGGAGGTATGTAGAGGTTAGGCACCTACTTCGAGAATAAGCAACCACAATCTGATTGGTAGTCATGAAAAATTGAAACTCAGTCACACAACTTCTATGATATATTTTTTTTGTAATATGCAATAATAACGTTAAAAGAGGGTATATAATTTAAAATAAACAACTCTTTGCCTACCCCTAGATATTATAAAGATTGTGTGCTTTGTTATTTTATATTTTGTTGGTGTAATTAAATTTCTGTTATGACAACAAACTATTTATTTTTTTTTATATTTTGTGAATATAACAGAATACGTTTACCAGTGTAATTCATGCAAAAACTATTATTTCTTCATTAGAAAATCCTGTTGTAATGCAAAACCCGTGTTACCATTATCTACGGTAATTATAAATATCACATTTACGTACAGGTTATGACGTCACACGCGGATACGAGATAGATATAGATACGGAAAATGTTGCCACAATTACAATCCGAATTTCTGATACATACATATTATTTCACGGTATCCTCACCACTTCCTTAACTAGTTCAAAGCCCCACTAATTCTCATGGTACTGCGTTCAAACCGATTGTTATTTGTTAGTTAGTACCTGTTGCGATCGTGAGAACCATCTAGTACCATTTCCATATTTGTTTGCGAACGGATTCTTTGAGTTATGGAAAGAAATACTTCACAATTTTCACTCGATGCAACGTGCTATTTCATCACCTATTATAGGAGTAACTGTATATGTTACGGCAATATGAAGAGAAATAAAAAATCTATGTTAAAATGAAAAACTTTTTTGGATTAAAAAAAAAAAAAACTAAAAGTTTATTGTCACCACAAAAAACATTATTACAGCTCGGTAGCTAATGTGTTTAAATACTAAGGGCTAATTCAATGATCAAACTATCTTGTTAACTATGTTTTTTATGTACCGTATTATCAATTTTTCATTGGAAGTAATACGAGACGTCACCTCAAATTTCTATTTCCTAATCAGTGGTGTAGCGTAGGTTTCCACCATCAGAGACAGGTGCCACATTTGCCGCACTCCCCTATTTTTTTATATAAACAAATAAATATGTTCTTAGAAACTTTTTTTCGTAAAACAATCTAAAAAAGTACCCTCTGAAGTTTCGTACCGTAGTTACGATGTTAATTTACTTGATGAACGAATAATATTGGAGATTTCTATTGTTATTATACACTTATTAAGTTCTTAAAGTACCTGCTCTTAAATCAGTAAGGAAGG